TAGTTCAAAGTAGTAAGGTTATATACATCTACAGCTGTCCCCCCTCCTCACACTCATGCCACTCCAGCAACCGACTGCAACCGACACTTCAAATCAACCATTCTAACTTCGTCATCTGTATTTAGGTGGGCCAAGATATTTCAGCTCATTTAATAGGTTTCTGTTGTTCAAGCATTAGTGCAGTGAAGTTTAAATATAAGCATTTGCATAGCAGAAGAAGAAAATCTAACAGAAATAAGGAAAGATTCCAAGGGGCAAAAAATTCACTGTTTTCAATTCAAACATCAAATCTTAATTAACTTACCCACCCAATTTATTAGGTTAAATAGCCCTACATAAGTTATTAGAAATTATTGTTTTAAAGACTTATTTTTTTTTAACTGAAAGGCATATATAGATAGAGGAGGATAGACAGAGATGAAGATCCTCTGATGATTCACTCCTCAAGTGACCACAACAGCTGGAGCTGAGCAGACAGGAAGCCAGAAGCTTGGAGCCTCTTCCAGGTCTCCCATGTAGGTGCAGGATCCCATGGGCTTTGGCTCATCCTTCACTGCTTTCCCAGGCCACAAGCAGGGAACTGGATGGGAAGCGGGGCCTCTGGGATTAGAAACCAGAACCCTATATGGGATCCGGGCATGTTCAAGCTGAGGAATTTAGCCACTAGGCTACCATGCCTGGGGCCCAATCACGAATCATTTTTAGGTCATGGAACTTCACAAAAAAAATGTGTGCTCATGCAAAATTTCATATAAAAGTTCAAAGTTTGTAGATACCCTCAGGCTTACTGACGATTTAATAAGCTCTGTTAGAGACTATTTACTACACATCACTGGCCATATCTTTCCTAAATTACAAGGCTTACCAAAGAAGATCAGAGTAGAACACGATTCAGGCAATGACCATTTCCATTCTGCTAACTCAATAAGGTATGGATAAGGGCTCAGTACAATGGCTCAATGGCTAACCCATCACCTCTTCACCTTACAACAGCCTGCTTCCACAGGGGCACCAATTCGTGTACCCAGCTGTTCCACTTCCCATCCAACGTCTTGCTGGTGGCCTGGGAAAGCAGTGAAGGACGGCTCAAAACCTTGAGACCCCTGCACCCATGTTGGAGACTCAGAAGAGACTGCTAGCTTTTGGCTTCAGATCAGCTCAGCTCCAGCCATTGTGGCCATTTGGAGAGTGAGCCAGCAGATGGAAGATTTTTCTGTCTCAAAACTGATCCACCTTCCCACTAAAAACAAGTAAGTCTTAATAAAAAAAAATAAAAAAAAAAAAAGACTATATCCCCAGTAATCGGTAGAGCAGCCTATCCAGCTAGTATTCCATTCACAGTATCCACCTCTCCACAGAATTTCTCAATCCAATGGAAGACTTTCAAAGACTAAAACATAAAAAACCATACTTCAGCATCACCAATACAATGGCTTCTTCCTGCTCGCATCACCTTATTCATCATTTCAAAGTACCTTCTTCATATAGAAAAATAACACATGCACATAAAACTCATATTCATAACAATGAAAGGAGTGAACAAATTCCTTTTCAGATATTTTTGCTCAGTAAGCAAGACAGGAGTAAGACATTACTATAGAAAATTCCACTTAATAACATCTGTGTAACAAGGAACCATACATCATGGCTCTGGGTAGACCAGCAGCTATTCCAGGCTTGAGCTATGTACTCTGGCTTAATTCAAAAGAGAGAAAAAGAGAACTGCTACTCAATACTTAGAATGCCAAGGAACAGGAAAGTGAAAGTTTACTTTCGATTTTTTTTTTCCCCTAAAAATTTTATTGCACATCTTAACTTGAGGAATGAAACTGTTTAACCTTTGGATAAGACCGTACCTCTTATCCAAAAATACTCATCTTTGGTTAAGACCAAAAAATTGAGCTGCTCATCACGTTAACAGCTAATCTCTCCTGTGAGAAGAACCTTCTCCAGAAATTCTTTCCTGTCATCTAATGATTCTCTACGTTTATTCTGGAGAGTTGCAATGTGGAAGTTGAGACCAAGTTGAGACGAGTGCAGACTCAGTGTGGCAGTGAGCAAAAAAGCCTTACTCTCTTGCAGGAACTGGCATTTAAAAAAAAAAATGGAGGCTATCAGAACTTACAAAGAGAAAACAAACAGAAAAGACACTCTGTGACATGGGCCATTTAACTAGCACTTTATAAATTCTGCATTAACCTCCCTGCTGCTCCGCTCCTCCACCCACTCACCTCCAGCCCAAGAAAACACCTCCAGGTGTCATGTGCTTGTACAAAGCATGGATACTTATGTCAAGATTTACTCTAGCTCCAGATGGTATAACAGCACTGATTTTAAGCAAAGTTAATTTCTCCCCTATAACTTATGACTTCAGTGACATTGTTTTGTCACCAAGAAAATGTGCCCTGTGGGGAGTATCTGACTACATAATGAAGGGCAAAATCAATAAAATATCAGTAAATCTATTAACTGATTACAAAATAAGGAAAAGCTAAAAATGTGTTAATGTCAAAAAGTTATAAAACTTATAAATTCTAATATCCACTTCTACTCTAAAGGGAAAAGCTCAATTAGGAACAATAAAGTAATTTCATATTCTGCTTAATGACACTTATCTCAAATAAATTATCAAAATCAAATTGAATACTGAATAAAAATGCAGAGGTATTCTCACAAGAGTAAAGCATGAGACATGAACTTCCACTATTGCCACTTGTCTTATGCTGTTCTTTTCATTTTCAGCCTTAGGATTCTCAACCAGAAAGAGTTAGTGACCGATCCAATTCAACAGGAAAAAAGACAAAAAATTCTTTCCTGAGAAAAAGACTTAAATAAAGAGATATATACCATGCTAATAGTTGGGAGGACTCAATATTGTAGAATTCTTCCAAAACTGGTTTATAAATTCAATGTATTTTGAAACACAAATAATTGATCAACTAATTGGGGAAAGTCAGGTCTCATATAGAACACCTAAACGTATAAAACAAACATGGGAAACATATAAATTCATAATGCATTTAAAAAGTTCACTTTATCAATAAATTAAAATGAAGATGAAATTAAAATAAAACAGTTCTTTTTAACCAAATTGTAAATATGCAGGAGGAAAAAGAAATAGGTACTCTACACTTTTTGGTTCAGCAGTTCTAGCTCAGGAAACAAAGTTATAACCAACACTTCTAGGAAAAAAAGACACACCACTTAAAAAATAACTGAGACTAGCTTGATAAATCTGAAATATCCATATATAACTATGTAGCTATAAAAATGTATGTTTTTATGATATCACATAAATAGCAACAAAATGTATATAATGTGTATTACATTTTCACACGTAACAAACCAACATATTTTTTGTATAATGCTACACACACGTTCACAAGAAAATGAAAATAAGAAAATACATACAGCAAGAAAAATATACAAATCATTTTCAATGAAAATCTGATTACTGAGATCACATACAATATTTATTTTCTTCAGTATGCTTCCATAAATTTTCACTTCCTTCAATTAAAAAAATGTTACTTTCATATTCAGAATATAACATGCTATTTCAAAAGAAATAATCTAAATGTAAAAATTTTGTTCTGAAATCTATGGGGTTTAAAATCCTAAATAAGACTTCAATTAGAGTGATATTTTTAACGATAAAAATTTTGGGCATAAAATGGTGAATGCATCTGAAATGAATGTTTACTACAACAATCTGATTTTTCTACCAAGCACTATAGAACTAGTAGCCACTGAGCTGAAACAGCCTATGGTTCCTAATAAAGTAAGCACACAAGGCTAATAAAAGCGAGGCACAACAAATCAAAAACATAAAAGCTTGTCAATCCAACAAGATTTCTGTTTGGACTTAACTTTTATTTTTAGCTTTGATATAAACAAATTTTAAATACCTTACTATACAGAAACTTTGCTTTGTAGCCTATGCTACATAAATATATTTACATACACATATACATAAGTACATATGTGTGTACACATTCGAAGTATTTAAATTTAATTTTTCATAAATAATTTTCACTATCAAAGGTAATAAACACAGACTTCAAAATTTTAAACACAAGATTATGATTTTGAGGAAATTAACTATGTCAACAATCCATGGAATTAGCAATATCTACATTTGAAAACTGTTCTTACATTATTTTGCTAAATACACACTGGGCTATAATATTTGACACCCAGATATAGAACCGTCACTTAAACAAATGCAACTTTAAGAAGCAGCAAAAAGTCAACATGTCTAAATGTATCATTTGCTTTACGAAATTAATTTCACAGAAATTAAATTGCTTAAATTAAAAAATGGAACAAATATACTAACATCAAACTTTTTAAAAGTTCAGGATAGGACAAAATGTCAAGACTATCACTTTTATTAATTACACAATTTATGGACAGGACACAACCAAATATAATCCAAAACATTAATATCACAGTAACAGAATGAGAGTTGATGTCAAAGACAACAAATGTATCTGAACACTGACCCGAGCTGGTCTACCCAGAACCATGCTGGACACGGAGGACAGAACATAATTTGTCTCCTTCACATGACATGACTTCAGTGACTCCTGGGACTAGACAAATTTGAATATCTGTATCTCTAAAACACAATGATTCAGATATTTCCATTCTCCCTTTTACAGTAAATAATTCCCTTCATTACAGCTGGATTAAACTTCAACCAGGAGACAAAGCCTGTTAATACCCAACACCCTCTTAATTTTCTGGGCTCAGGGCAGCCTGCACAGAACCAAAGGCGAAACTACCAAGCTAGCATGAAACTTCGGCAGGTAATATTAGGCCACAATACTGGAACCCAACAACTGAGATTTGTCACTTCTCATATAACAAAATAATTCCATTAAAATGATCTGCTTCATCAGGAAGGATTCTGCATGGAAATCCTTGAAAAACATGAAAAAACCAAGCAAAAGAGTAAGATGTCTGACTGTACTAATATTAGTACTTACGTATCATACCTCTGCAGTGGTGTCACTTTGTTCTTATTCTTATCAACTGAACCCGTGGACAGCTGAAGAAAATTAGGATTTAATTTATATAATTCTTGAAGAAGCTTCTGTTCATATTCTTGGTGTTTACCCGCCTAATGAAAGAGGAAATGAAAACTGCAGTGGAATTTACAAAAAGGTTGATACACAGCACTGAGTTCTCTTTCAAATTATTAAAGATATCCTACGTAAAACCTAATGGTTTTTCATAGTATTGGGGAAAGGGAGGGGGATGATGACACAAAATTCCTAAACCAACGAAAACTTACGCCAACAAATTTACAATTTTGTTGAATATAAGGAATACACAACAAATGCTCCTGAAGATAAAGGAACAAAATATCAAGGACAGAACATTTCTGTTAGCTCACACGAACAGGACAAGTGCAAGCCTACCCTCAAGTCTTTGATGTAATGATAAGGAAGGTTCTTAATAGGTCTTTACTGAGTTTGCTCAAGATCACCCAAAACTGATCAATCCCCTTGTCTTATTTTGAGATTTAACATTCAGTAATGTACAGATAAACAGTTACACCACATTATTCATTATCCTATTTTTTTAAAGATTTATTTATTTTTACTGCAACGTCAGATACAAAGAGAGGAGGAGAGACAGTGAGGAAGATCTTACATTCGATGACTCACTCCCCAAGTGACTGCAACGGCCAGTGCTGCACCGATCCAAAGCCAGGAGTCAGGAACTTCATCTAGGTCTCCCATGTGGGAGCAGAGTCCCAAGGCTTTGGGCCGTCCTCTACTGCTTCCCCAGGCCACAAGCAGGGAGCTGGATGGGAAGTGGAGCTGCCGGGATTAGAACCGGCGCCCATATGGGATCCCAGAGCGTTCAAGGCGAGGACTTTGGCCACTAAGCCACCGCACCAGGTTCGTATTCATTACCTTGATGCTAATATGCACACATACAGATATGAATATATATATATTCTTTCCTCTGTTATCAAGAACAAAACAAAAAATCAGGGATTCAGCACAACAGTCTAGTGGCAAACTAACATCCTTGACTTGCATGTACCAGGATCCCATATGGGCGCCAGTTCCTGTCCCATCCTAGCTGTTCTACTTCCCGTCCAACTCCCTACTTGTGGCCTAGTAAAGCAGTCAAGGACGGCCCAAAGTCTTGGGAACCTGCACCCACGTGGAAGACCCAGAAAAAGCTCTTGTTTCCTGGCCTCAGATCAGCTCAGCTCTGGCCAATGTGGCCATTTGGGAAGTGAATCAGTGGACAGAAGATCTTTCTCTCTGTGTCTCGACTTCTCTTTGTATATCTATTTACCTTTTCAATAGATATAAATAAATCTCAAAAAAAAGAATAAAGTAAAAATTAAACTCTAGGCCCATGGTAAGCAACTGAACAGCTATTCATCTGTTTTTGCAAGTTTTTTGGAACACAGTAATGCACATTTGTTTACACAGTGTCAACGGCTGCACATCAGAATGGAGGATTTCTTTTAATGATCAGCTCATTTGATGGGCAAAGACAAACAAACTCTTCCCAGGCTGAAACCATCCAAACCCCCTGTGAGTGATAGGGATAAAAGTAATTATACCATCATCTGCCTCCCAGGGCATGAGGAGCAAGCCCAACTGGAAACAGAGGCAGGACCAGAGCCCAGGCACTACAGTAGGGAATGCAGGCATCACAGGCAGCCACATGACCCACTGTGCTACAAAGTCCCAAAATTCAATGATGACCATATAGTCCCAAATCCTAAAATATTAACTGGCCTTTTACAGCAAAAGTTTGCCAACTCCTACCATAAGCCCAACAATAGAAAAGTATATGTAAAGAGTACTTCAAAACTCACAGAAAACGGCATTTAAAAGATGGGCATATTTTGGTATTTTAAAAAAAAAGTCTGAAGCCCATACATATACTGGAAAGGATCTTTGAAAAGCTTATGGAAGACTCGGTGTGGTAGCTTAACACTACTTGTGAATTATAAAAATTTTAATGTCAAGAACCTCCAATATATTTATTATAATGGGATTTAATCCGCACTAACGCCAAGTCAGAAACAGCTGATGCTTGACCGTCTTTAGCAGTGTGGTCTCTATCTCCAAGCCTCTCCAGGCTTTCTCTAGTGGAACTGGAGAACGAAAGGCAGCAGTGAATGCCCCCCACCTTCCACAAAGAGGTATTGCTGTACAAGTCCACAGCCACAATCTGAAGTCCTCATCTAGAATAGGGAAGTGCAGCACTGTGCTTGGGTACAGTCCTCATTTAATAAGCCATATGGTCAACACTTTTACTTGTAAAGACATGTTTATACTACAAATTGAAAGGAGACAGAAGAGGAGATGTAAAAAAAAGTACACAGGATATAATGTCTTCAATTAACCCTTCATAGGACACTGACTTAATGGATGCTTGGGTTGGAGAATCATTTTACTGTGTATCAACATCATTTGATGGAATATGATTATATAGCATGTTCTGTAAAGACTAGACATTGGGGAGAAAAAAATAATATTTACAGTATTTCACTTAGCCTTCATTTTGCTGACACTTCCCTTAAAGCAGCATTTCCCAAAGTGTCTCCCTTGGTCAATTAAGTTCTGGTTGTCTTTGTGCTTCTCAGTTATCCCTTGCTTGGCTATGTATGAACCTATTAAAGACTCTGAGAAGCGCCATTGCGAAGGAATGTGCTTATCTTCATACTCTGGCACTGTTAAACTTAGTTTGACCACAAATCCAATTTTTTTTCTAACAATACCCTGCAGGATTGACAGCGCATGGAACACTTCATTTAGCAAATGCTACTTCAAGTACTGATTAGAAAATTCAATACCTAGCTTTTGCTTTCATAATTTTAACATGTAAAGAACATGTACCCCTTAACCACATGACTTTACTACCTGCATTTCCTCTTTAGTGAAGCTGGCCGCCTCATCTCCCAGCTCATGTAGATACATGCAGTCAGGCTTTGGACACTGCATATTCTTTAAGAAATAACTGCAGTATTTTGTTGTACCTAGAGATGCCTGCAAGAAGAAGAGGGGTGGGGAAAAGAGGATTCAAAACGAAAACTGATATCACAGTGGGAATTCCAGTTTCTTATTTCCACTTTATCTAAAATGGGACACAAACATGACAAACAAGGAGTACAGCTGCCACGTGGGCTGAACTATTACTGGTAAGAGTTGTTAAGGATAATGCTCATTTGGAAGAGTTTGCAGTCTAGGATCTCTAGAACTTCTAGCATCTTCTTTACTAGACAAAAATCAGTTCTATGTTATAAAAGGCTCAGTATATAAAAAAGCAAACTCAAGTTTCTAATTATGCCAACAGCCTTTCTACTTGCAAAAAGCATTGCCTTGGTAGAAGCTCTCACTAGACTTTGAGTCCAACTCCGGATATGTAAAAACAAAAAAACCAGAACTATTACCTATCTTTGGTGAGAATAATAGTGGTTCCTTTTCATAAAGTAAGATATATGTAGAAATAGGAGATTTTAAAATGATTATCCCCTATTAATGAATGTGTTTGTTCCTACTTGGTAAAATAGGAGTCTCCACAAGTCAGCAGTGAATAAATTAGGTCGACAGAAGTATTCTAAGTAAAAATCTTCAAATTCCACATGCAGATGCCAATTTTCCCATACTTATTTTGTCTTCTACTTTATCTTATCTCCCTCGTTTACCAAAAAAAAAAAAGGGGGGGGGGGACCAGGGGGAAGGACAAACAAAGTTACCTTAAGTGTTCTGCCATCTACCACCACATTGTTGACACACTGTATGGCTCTGAGAGCATCTTCTGAGCGGATATAGGTTACATAAGCACTGGCACTGGGACCCTGAAGTGAAAACATCCCACCCAGTCATGATTACAATGTCAAAGTGAACAACACTAGAAAACAGAAAAATTTCCTGCACTCTGTTTTGGGAATGCCAAACACTTTTGCTACTACTACTAATAACAATAATGACAATTAGAAGATTTAATTAAAAATTGTGCTAGCTCATTTAAAAGTAACTACACTTAATGAACTTTATCTGATTCTAAAGACTGCAATATATAAAAAAAAAATTATCATCTGTGGCTTGCCCCTCTTTTTCCTTAAAAGTAGACTATTATCTATGAAAAAAGGATCGATCTTTGATTTGTCAAGGTTACAAAACATTTTGAAAATATTTTTTTAAAATACCTCTCCATCTTTCTGCTTTTCAAATAAATTAAAACAAGTAAGATTTTTAGATGCCGTGTCAAAATATGCTTTCTCAAAAATCATATTCAGGAATATTTTGTGAATATGATGATCCTTTTTAACATCTGCAAACATGAACTAAAATTTACTAGCTAATATTACCAGATTATCCAATAACAGAATCAACTCCCATGTCCTCTTATGCAATTATCAAACCTTTGTTTTATTACTCCCCTCTTATTGTCAACTTATTGAAAGTCCTAGAGGGTGAAATGAGCACCAAAAGTTCCCCAACCCACCAGCAGAGGTCACTACACTGCTTAAGGCTCTGACCCTCAAGCTTTCCTTCTGTACAGCCCAGGTCAAGCCCAGAGTAGAGAAGAAAGGCAAAACTTCCTCTAAATTAGTTACCTGTGAGCCTGCATATGAAGTGCTATTATTGATGACCACTTTGTGTATTTTTCCAAACTTCCCAAAATATTCTGGCCGTTTTAAAACCTACAAAAGAAGAAGAAATAATATAAACTGTCCCCATCTTCATCAATCTTATCAGTATAACGGGGACACTCATCATCACTTACCACAGCCGTCTTCTGGGAAAGGAAAATAGCTAACTTTTAGAAATTGTTCTAACGTGTGAGTATACTTTGCAACTTTAATCTGGATAGCTATTCCATAGAAATCTTTAAAATATTGTAAAAACTATTCCTAGGCTATTCCTTTGTTTGTTTTTTAATTTCATTTTGTGACACAGTTTCACAGGCTCTGGGATTCCCCCAACCTCTCCCCATGCCCTCCCGCCATGTTGGATTCCTACACTTTGTTGTAGTAGTACAGTTCATATCCAGTCGTGATAGACTATTCTTTTTTAATTCACTGCAGAAATTAAGACTCACTCAAGCTATTTTTTTCTATCAACTACTTCCTAACACCAACACCAATAACTTGCGGGAATCTTACCTTCACAGCAAACATGAAACAGATCAAAGCTATCCACTACATTGTCATTAACAGACGGTTTTATAACAAAGTCATTCTTGAACAAGGACCAGAACTGCCATGAATAGAAACAGCCTCTACTCTTCATGTAACAGATCCGTTAGGAGCAGCAACATTTAATGTATTCTGTTAAGACACTGTTACAAGCTGCAGTTCCTTTGCCTAAGAGTGCTGCCCTGACCTATGCCAAATGCACTGTGCAATTTCCTACGTCAATTTGACAATATTCAACTCTCTCGTGACTTTTTGTTTTCCTCTTTTCCTGGTAAATAACATGTGGGAAACAAATTTATGTCTTTTTCTTATTGGATGATATAATAATGGTTATTTCCCCTTATATTTATCTTATCTTCTTTACTTTGTGAATTATTACATAGATTGTTAACAGCTGTTCCTACAAACTTACTTAACCTTGATTGAGTAGTAATAATATAAAAATCTCTCCCATGATTCTTTGCAATTACCTCAAAATTAGATTATTTTTTTTCCCTAGAATAACAGACTTATTCCTTCCATCTGTCCATACAGTGAAGTGTCACTAAAAGAACTTTCTATATACCTGCTAAAATTTGGCAAAATATTCCTTTTTCCATTTATATTTGATGACATTCTCACACATCAATAATTTAACAAATATGGTCCAACTTTGTTAGAATTAAAATCTGATAACATGTGGCTAGCAGATGATTAATTCTTAACAATGTTCAACTTAATTAACATTAAGTAATTAAACTTGCCAAATTTTATTTTCAGTGTTTGCAAATTTACCTGTTATGTTGGCTGCAACCAATTTTAATGACTTAAAAGGTAAATTCATGATACTGGCTTTTCATGTTCTTTCTTCCTAAACGCTCTGGGAAAACATGATATTTGTAGCTAAGAAAATGCTGCGATCGTTCACAGTAGTCTTCGGATTAACGGCTTGGAAAGAGTATAGTCTGAAAGCTTTCCAATCAGTGGAGTTTGATACTGCATTCAAACAGTCCAGGTAAACACAACTCAGCACAGAGCCTCACAGGTAAAACACCTGCTCCAACCATCAGGCTGGTCACACGGGATCTTGCATCAGCGTTTCCTATCGTGTGTGAATTTATAGCACTTGTTCTCAAAAAGTGGAAGCACTCAAGGGAGAACTTTGGGGATCTGTGAGAGCTTTAGAAGGAGCACTGTTCGAAGGACTGAGACGCTAGCAGCACCCACAAGCTGGAAGCAAGAGCTGACCTGAAATGCTCGGGCTAGCACTACCCAACAGTCACCCTATGCACCCTGTAAATATCCTATGACACACTCAGGAGGCTGAAATACCTACTTATAATTAAATAAACTAGAAACAAATGTTATATTATGTGTAAAAACAAAGCAGTTTTCCAGTTTTGACACACACTGAATCTACAGGACCGCAAATAAAGCAATTCAGAGAAGACTGCATGTGCTCGGTGTGGGATTTTTACTGTTGTTTCAGAAAAAAAAAAAATAGCATTTCATGATGCCTGAGTTTTCTTTTTTTAAAAAGACTTATTTATTTTTACTGGAAAGCCAGATATACAGACAGGAGGAGAGGCAGAGAGGAAGTTTCTCTGTCCAATAATTCACTCCCCAAGTGGCTGCAATGGCCAGAGCTGAGCCGATCCGAAGCCAAGAGCCTGGAGCCTCCACCAGCTCTCCCACACGGGTGCAGGGTCCCAAGGCTTTGGGCCGTCCTCAACTGCTTTCCCAGGCCACAAGCAGGGAGCTGTATGGGAAGTGAGGCCTCTAGGATTAGAACTGGTGCCCATATGGGATCCTGACACACGTTAAGGCAGGACTTCAGCTGCAAGGCTACTGCACCAAGCCTGAAACTTGAGTTTTCAACTTACACACCTGAAACAATATGTATTTTTAGCTGCCATGGCCAATAAAGGAATGTATTTGATCATTCTGGAATGAAGCTTTCTGGCACACAAAATTTATTTTCAAAATAAGCTTCAAATACTCCTAAACTTTTCTGTTCATCAAAATTTAGTGAAACATCAACTTGTCATCAAAGGTAAGTGAATTATAGGGATTCTCTATGACTTGGAAGATGCAATAACAATTTGAATCTCTTGAATAATCTAGTGAACTCAACTTTAAGAAAAATATGATTTAGAAGTGGCAATACGGAATAAAACAACAAAACACTTATCTCTAGTTCTTCCAGGGTTTTCAGGAGAAATAAATAAGATGAATGTTTCAGAAAATTTATCACCTTCTTACCAAGCAAAGAGTTGAAAAATGTAAAAGATTTAAAAAGTAATGTTGATACATGTGAGTGATCCTCAAAAATATGATGGAAAATTGGATTAGAATGGCAATTTTATGTGAAGTTTGTGTAGTCTCATATACTTAAAACCCATAACAAAATGCCCTCTCAGCAGCTTGATTCATCTCTTTCTGCATAATAGCTCTTCAGAGTAATATGTATTTACCTCAAATAAGAATAAGGAATCTCTGGGAGTATATAAAAACTCTTTCAAAAACTCAAAAGAAGAGGGAAGAAAGCTATAATCCAAGCCTGAGATTCAGGCAATGGCTTAATTTCACCCAGCTCTTTGTGCACTGCTCCATTTCTCACCCTCTACAGCTGATTAGATCAAACCCAAGATCAGAGTTCTAGTAGCATATGGAGCAGCAGTGTCAAGAAGGCAGTGTGGAGTGGATGTTATGCCTAAGAGTTCAGCCTCTGTTTAGGAGCCCACACTGGTTAGGAACACACTGAGGGTCACGCCCTGCTTCAGCTCCTGACTTCAGCTTTCTGCTGACACAGACCACTGCAAGCAGCGGTTCTGGCCCAAGACGCTGGGTCCCTGCCACCTGGAAGACCTGCACTGAGCTGTTAGCCTGAGGTGGCATGTGAGCACTGAACCAGCAAACTAGAGTTGCTTCTTTTGCTGTCACTGTTTCTCTCTCCCCTACCGAATACTAATGACACACACTAGCCTTATCAATAAACCAGAATTATTATCCAATGTTCACAGACTATTATTAGCACCAAAAAGGACATTAGAAATGTGGTTCAACTTCTCCAGTTTTGCAACTGAAGAGACTGAGGCCCAGAAAGACCATAATGGGTCATGAGTGTCTTAGCAATTATTAAAATCCTTGCTTATTTTCTCCAAAGATTTAAAATCTTCAGAGGAATCCTGCAGTTGAGCAGGCTGTTACTTCAATTTAAGGTAATAAAACAGGGGAAAAAATTGTCAAAGGAAACAAAAAAGGACTTACCTCTGGGTCTGCCAGCCGCTGAGACAGACCTACAACAAAGACAAGGTTTTTTTGTACAACACGTACACTAGCCAAATGTTTGCGATTCTCTGATATTTTCTGTTTTCTCTCATTCTGTTTCTGCTTTTTCTCATTCTTTATCCTCTGAAGTTCTTCCTGGGAGAGTGGCTTATAAACTGCTGGGTCTTCTGGATATGGCTTTAAGCATGAAACAAAAGAAATTAGCATTAGGTAAATAAGCATAAAAATAACATAAATAACAACTACCTAACCCTAGAGAGTAGAGTTCATGAAAATTAAATTAAAAGGTAAACTTAGGGACAGTTATATTATAGGCGGAACATTCTCCTACTGGTATACTTAGATCTGACTTAGCTCTGTTCCTAAACCTAGCTTCCTGTTAATACGCACAATGGCAGATTGTAATGGATCAAGTACACAAAAGGTCAAGGTTGACTTCCCAAGTCCTGACTTCAGCGTGGCCCAGTCCTGACTGCTGTGAGTACTCAGGGTGTGACCCAAAGGAGAGGAGCTTTCCAATGCACGGGTGCTTTCATGTGCACACATCTTCTCTCTGCCTCACTAAAATAAATCAATATACACATACATTAATAAATGTAAAAATTCATTTGGGGACAAGACATATTGAAATCAAAGCATGCAGAACACCTTTAAAAGTTGATGAAAATCAGCAACTCTGTCTCTGCCTTTCATGTAAAGAAAAAAGAAAAAACTGCACATGGATTATAAATCTTTTTGCATCAAAGTCAATTTATCTTTTAATCATTTTGAGGTGTCTCATATTCTTCCTTTTGTGAATGTTTTAACTGCTTAAAAATGTTTCTACTTAGTAACAACTAAAATGCTTAATAAAATGAAGTCCTAAAGACATTGTATTTTGTGGGGTAAAAACAAAACAAAACAAACAACAACAAAAAAACCAGCAGCAAATCATTCTTGGTATTCCCTATAGAGTAGTGTTTATCTCACAGTTTATAAGATTAAGCTTATGAAGTGCTACGTGACAGGTAAAGTGTATTCTGTTTTCTCTTCAAAATATAGGCTTTCTATATTATAATCAGTTAGTGAAAGCCTACAACATGCTAGAAGATTGATGAAGTTACACACTTATTCTTTAGTGTACTCCCCAAGACAAAGATGGGCAAATAAACAACTATCTACACACACACACATCCTCAGGAGTTTAATGTTTCTACACTTCATAGTCACACCACCTTAGATAACTTAATTAAAACCTACACTTCAATACCCTCAAATGTAAAATTAAAGTAACAATAAAGTTTGATATAAGAATAAATAGCATTTATAAAGCAATTTTTATCATTACTGGCATATAATAATCTCCCAATAAATACTTCCAATTTCACCATAGGTAGGTTTTTATTCTTTCTCATCAGTGTCCTGCATAAGCACTCAAAAAGTTAGTTATTATTGCTGTTTATAAAGTTAATGATAAAAGGAAGATGGGGAACATTAACTGCAGTAACATTTAAAATTGCACATGAAGAGATCTCAGGAATAGAAATCATAACTGGTTGGAAAATTGTCCCTATCAGAGGTACAGCTGTGACAGGTTAAAAAAAATCCCAAGAAGAATAAAAAGACTAAGAATATTCAGAAGCCTGAAGTCTGTTATGCCTTTAACATAAAGGTACATCGATTTCTTTACATTTTGGAATAAGAAAAAAATAAAATGAACCCCCTCCAACTTGGGAATAAACCCAGACTAATGCTAACAGATATCAGTAAGTGAAATATTTCCCTTAACATTTCCCATGTCTACTGGGGTTGATTCTCTGGGCCTTTCATTAGTTAAAAAATAAATAAAAATCCTTTCTGCCCTTTGAAATTGTTTTCAGAGTGAATGTTTATAAGTTGGCTGCTAGATGAAACACAAGTGTTCCATGTCATGACTCCTGAATTAAAGCCCAATCTCACCTCCTGATTCTAGTTTCTTACATTTTCTTACAGACCCGGGGAGCGAACCTGGAAGACCTGATTTGCATCCTTGACATCCAGCTTCCATCTGTCCCACCCTTGGTTCTTGATAGCATTTGAGAAATTCTCTGACCATTTCTTTTTTTAAGCTTTATTTAGTTCTCTATTTGAAAGTCAGAATTACAGAGAGGGAAAGACAGAGGTTGAGATCTTTCACCTGCTGGTTGACTCCCTTAATGGCCCCAATGGCTGGGGCTGGGCAAACCAAAGCCAGGAGCCAGGAAACTAGGCCTCCTGCCTGGTGACATAGGTCAGAGCACTTGGGCCATCCTCTGCTGCTTTCCCAGGCGATTAACAGGAAGCTGGAGCAGAAGCGGGGTGGCTAGGACAGTGAATCACATAGGGAAGGCCAACATCCCAGGGGACAGTTTACCTGCTACACCACGAAGCTGACCTCTCAAGTAATTTCTAAAAATAAATACAATTAAGTGGGATTCAATTTAATTTTATTAATATCTGTACTTTCCTCTCTGGTTTTAATTTACTATGTCTCCCACCACATTTCATTAAAAAGTTGCCTTGTTCATGTGCCTCGTCAGTCAGTCCTGTAAGGCTTAGTAGGCAAAAAAACATTCTTACAGTTCCCTACTCCCTGTGCCAGTTGCTTCATTCTAGAAACAACCTTACTGTGTCTTTTAGATTTTCATCCGTCATTTACAACTATATTTCTAAATAAAATGCTTTTACTATTAAGTCATGACTTTTCAGTTTTAAAAATTATCATATTATGCACATTCAAGAGTCAGCTCTTTCAGCCTCCCTTACCACAAATCCCAAGTCCACATTCTAACTTCTACCCTAACTTTGGTTAGATCAATACTCAGGATTACATTATCGTAAGATACAAACATTATTTGCTCACTTCCACTTTTAGTTATCACATGCTAGAGTGCAGCAAAGTACACCAACCCCAAAAACAATTAGAAAATTAGGCAAAACATGAAATAACTGAACAACAGGCAGTAAACAGCAGAACTATAACCCTGAAAGAAAAGAAAAAGGTGAAAATCATGATTGCCTCAACTTTCTAATCTTCTAATACTTACTGATTTAACAACTGGTTCAATTGTAATAATGAGTAAAGAACAAAATAATCAAAGTTTGTAGAGAAAGAGGCAATAGTAATTTACTGGGCAAAATACCACAAAGAGGGAGCTAACTCAAGAATTCCAGAAATCAACATAGAGGAATTTTATGGCCGCTGGGTATTATATACAGTTCTCCAGTGAAGAACTCCAATAATAGCACACCGGTAACAGATTTGGAGAAGAAATAAAAAGAATGTAAACTACATGCAAACTTAGAAGAAAAGATAGAGGAAATATTTACCAACTCATTTTATGAAGCCAGTATTACTGTAATACCAAATCTAAACAATTTAAACATTAAGTCACAGTAACTTTAATATTATACACACAAAGTGCGGTTCTGAAATTATTAACAAATTGTACAAGAAAAGATAATACATCATGATTAAATAGTTTATCTATTAATGAACATTGACTCAAAAAACAATAAACATAAAAACCTGAACAGATAGTGGGAATGGGTAGCAGGAATACAGTCAACAGAAACAGAAAAGGCCAAAAATTCAACATCCATTCATAGTAAAAATTCTCTCAGGAAAAAAAGTAATGAAACAAAACATTTTTTCCTTATAAAAACCACTCACAGCAAATGCAAAGCCAGCATTTGGTGGCATTCTATTCAACATTTTACTGCTAAGATTCAAACAAAGACAGCTTTCTTATCAATTCTAACCTACATGGTACTACAGGGATTATCCAGCGAAATAAGGAAGGAAAAATAATTGAAAAGGAAAAGTTGTCCTTTTGCACAAAAGGCATGATCACCTATGTAGAAAGTCCTAAAATCTATTAAGTAATGCTGCATTATAGATGGTCAAACATAAAACTGTACAATAATGCTCTGTCTAATGGCGGTTGGAATGATACTTCACAGCAATATCATGTCATTGTTCAAAACTATGCAATACTTATAAAAATAAACCATATTATATATACACTAAAAATTATAAAACATTGAAGAAAATTTAGAAATTTTTTCATTGTATTACCATCTCTTGATATTTCAACTTTAAATGTTATCACATTCTGTATGCTGAATCAGGTAATCCATTATTTTTTAAGATATCATTTTTTCATAATGACTTTTTTTTTACATTTTCTCTACACTCTTAATCAAAATCCTAGCAGGTTTTTTTTATAGAAACGGGCACAACAATTTCTACACAAATCCTGAGAATATTTAGACCACCCAAAATAAAACCTAAAAAGAGTCGCAACGCAGAAAACTTGTTATAAGCTTGACATAATCAAGGCAGTATAGTACTGGCATAAGTACAGGCATGCTGATCAATGAAAGTTAGAACAATGGATACAAACACTTGAAATAAACTGACACAGTCCTGAGAATCAACTGATTTTTCAATATTCCAAATCCACTGAATAGTGAAGGCACAGTCCATTCTACAAAAGATGCTGCAGCAACAGAATATCCATATAGCTGTGGGGGTGGGAGGAGCTCAGCTCCTCCCTCAGAGGTGTTATTATAAACTAATGCTTTATCTTTTCTGTACAACATTTTTACTTTCCCCTAGAGTTAATGACTATGCTTTATCTAGTTATATTGCTATGTGCTCATATATTATTAATTCAACCATCAGATCTCTTCAAGTTGTCCCGATGGTTTCACACACTTCACCTCTGAATGGATAACTATTCTTCCAATTTCATCTTTTTAGGAATTTCACTTGGAACTTTGTGATGATTCACATTTTGGTTCAGATGCTAACACTTCCTCCATCATCCCAGGAACCTCCCCTGTGTTGGATCACTTGTATCCTGTATCCCAGGCATTCACGTTTTCCTTTCATGTTAGTATGGTACATACCCAGTACATTCCCAAGAGTAAATGCACATGAGGTTTAAAAAAAAAAAAAAGGTTTCCACTCCTCAAGTCTGAGCATTTCTTCTAGCATATCTTTACACTTAACAGTTGATCAGATATGAAAAATTGATTTCCTCCAGAAGGGTCTTCTAACTTCAAGTCTTACTGTTGAGAAGTCTGAGATGATTCTGACTCCTCACCTCTTAATATGACCTAGTTTTTCCTTTCTGCGGATTCCTGAAGTTCTTTTGTCTACAGTATTCTGATATTTCAAAAAAGTCTGTGCTGGGCACTTGACAGTCCCTTTCAATCTGGAAATGCATCCAGTCATTCCAAGAAATATTCTTCAATCGGTTTTTGATGATTATTTTTCCCCTGTGTATTATAGTGGTTTTTTTTTTCCAGGATAATTATTTGGCATTTCATTTCCTTGATAGTCCTCAAAAAAACTTATCTGTTTTCTCACATTCAACCTCTTCATTATTTCTTCCCATCCACTTTTAGTTATCTCCTTATACAACTGCTCTCAGCATTCACTAGAATCCATGGATCCTCTATTTTGCTGATCATTTTTTTCATGCTTTCTACTTTTTATCCTTTTACTTCATATTCTGTGAAGGAAGAAAAAGGCTAAGTACAATGTGCTTTTAAACTATTCTGTTCTTCAGATTATCATAGAGTGTTCATATTCAAAATGCAACTGATTCTTTTTTATAATAAGAATCTTTCCGGGTTTGGCACAATGGTTCAATTGGCTCATCCTCCCCTTGCAAGCACAGGGGTCCCATGTGTGCATCAGTTGATGCCCTGGCTGCTCTGCTTCCTGTTCAGTTCCATCTCCCCACCCTCAATTTCATGATACAGTTCTATAGGTTCTCAGGTTTCCCATCCCCTCCCCAGCTTCACACTCCCTATTGATTTCCCTTCTAGTAGTATAATGGGTAGTCCTTCAGGAACAGTTATTAGCCCATCATTTCGCTATTGGAGTGTTTCCCAACATTATAGGCATGGACAACGTCACAGTCCAGCTTCACACTGTCAGGATACATTCAACAATTTCACTGGCAGTCCATCTTTGGTATGGATGCAAAGAAGCATAATGAATGATATCTCCACATCTGGACCTGACAGTCTCTTCTACACTTCTATTATACATCCCCTAAAATACAAAGCCAGAAAACACAGTCCACGACAGAGTGAAAAAAACAAAAAAATTGATATCAACATGAAGTTAGACAATATTCAGCTTCAGCTTTGTGGCCTAGGAAAGCAGCAGAGGATGTGCCAAAGCCTTGGGTCCCTACATCTGCATGGGAGACCCAGAAGAGGCTCTCAGCTCCTGGCTTTGGATCAGCTCAGCTCCAATCACTGCAGCCATCTGGGGAGTGAACCTGTGGATGGAAGGTTTTTCTCTGTCTCTCCTTCTCTCTGTAAGCCTGCCTTTTCCAATAAAAATTAATCAGACATTTCTGCAACCAGCACCTGTGTCATAACAGGTGAGCCACTGCCTTTAATTCCAACATTCCATGTAAGCAACAGTTGGCATACCTGCTGCTCCATTTCTGATTCAACACCCTAAGTGACCCAGGAAAAGCAGTGAAAGATGGCCTTGATATGTGCTGTGTGGCCCTGCTACCTATGTGGGAGGCATGTGGAGCTTAAGACACAGAAGAAGTTCCTGGCTCCTGGCTTCAGCCTAGTAAGGTCCTGGCAACAGCAGTCCTCTGGGGAGTGAACCAGAGAATAGAAAATCTCTCTCACTCACTTTTTGTCTAACTCTTGCAAGTAAGTAAATCTTCAAACAGTAATAAAATAATAGCAAAATCCTTTAAGCATGAATATACCACACTATTATATTTTGAAAAGTACCAGTGACCCCTAAAGGTTTCTTTGGGCCTTGCATAGTAGCTTAGCAGCTAAAATCCTCGCCTTGCATGCATGCACCCAGTTCCCATACGAGCGCCAATTCGTGTCCTAGCTGCTCCACTTCCCATCCAGCTCCCTGCTTGTGGCTTGGGAAGCAGTGGAGGACGGCCCAAAGCCTTGGTACCTTGCATCCATGTGGGAAACCGAGAGAAGGCTTCTGACTCCTGGCTTTGGTTCAGCTCAGCTCTGGCTGTTGCGGCAACTTGGGGAATGAACCAGCGAACATAAGATCTTTCCATCTCTCCTTTTCTCTGTAAATCTGACTTTCCAATTAAAAATAAATAAATCTTTTTTTGTAAAGGTCTCTGTTTCCTTATATGAGGATCTTCAATCTAATGCATTTTAAGAATCATGCCTCTTGTGATACTGGTTTTTCTGAAACCCACACTGACCATCTGTCTCTACTACATCACACAAGAACCACACAGCTACCTGAGGCTACCTGATGCCACACACAGTAACCCGCTGCTATCTTCCTTAGCACTTCTAGGATCCTCTCTTCAGCAATCTTTGGACCAAAACTAGTTCTTCCTTCTTAAAAAGAACACAATGGCTTTCAGTCTTTCCAAAATTCCTCACATGGTTTATTCTTGTCAAGGCACCATTCTACTGATAATTAATTCACTAAAGTTATTTTGCTTTTCTATGTAAATGCTTCCATTTTTCTCTATTTTCTATAGGGATGTGAAGTAATTCTCTTTAAGACAAACAATTTTCTTTGTGATTTCCCAAATAACTGATTTTTCAATGACAATTTAATAATCGGTTCATATTACAAGTACTGCTTCATAATATTCAAAAGGACAAAAAAGGATAAACTTCAGAAAGCTAATCAAAATTTGCAATCTTTGGAGACTCAAGTGATCATGAAAGTCACCCATTCTTCAATGAAATAGATTAATATGACTGTTTTCTACAAAGTGGCTGGAAACTAAATTTAAAATGTGATGAAATTTTTGAAATTTATAAAAATTATACACACACATATATAGTTTTGACCAAAGACAATAATACGGTTTTCATTTAGCCTTATATTCACAATTCTTAAAGTATATCAAATGTTCAAAAACAGTACTACAATATATGTAAATAATTATAAATAAGAGGTTCTATATTAAGGCAACAGATATTTGTAATAATCTCTAAGCTGACAAACAATGCATTTCAAAATAGAAATGCACAGTTCTAACCACTCTAATACTTCAGTCAGTACTCTTAACTATGTTGTACACTTTCTCAAAAACAACAAAATCCAGAGAATGAAGGGTTTTTTCAATACAATAGTACAGAACAAAGACCTACAAAAGACATTTTAATACCACTGCTATCTCTTATCAATTGATAAATCCAGACACATAAGCTCTAATTTCTCACATGTAAAATGAATATTGTGACGATTAGCCTAGAAATGTCACAAGGGCCCAACAAGTAAACAGCTACTACATTCTGAACCCAGATGTCTGTCATTTTAACCTACCTTTTTTTTCCTAGTGTGTATTAGCAAATTAAAGCAAATGTACCTCTACATGTAATATATAATATGTTTTCCTAATTTCATATAATTCTTGAAGTACTTACCTTTCTACATGCAGGACAAAGCCCATTTTCATCAGTCCGAATTCGATGCCAACAAAATCGGCAAATCTGGTAGCCACAGGTGCAAGGGAAAAAGTTGATATCATCTATCTCCAGGGGCTCCATGCAAAGAGGGCATTCCACAGGGTCTTCCTTTGCGTCAGGACTGCGAGACATCTTCACGTTTATCAAACAGCAGCAAAAGTTTATAATAACTTAAGGGAGAAGGAAGTTCAGCACAGAGAACTAAAACAGAACTTTGATGACCTGCATAAAAAAAACATATATATACTTTATTTAACAATCAAAAATCAACTGTCAAAAAAAAAATACTAACCAGGCAACTTATGCTAACATCTTTGAAGGGATTTCAGGAAGGACTTCTAAAAACATTCACATCAGGATAAAATGTCTATCTTAGGTTTCAAACTCAACAACACTTACTTTTTGCTAATATACAGTACTAATTAACTTATGAACACGTTAACATTTTAGAGAAATAAATACATATTTTCTCCTCTAAAATATTCTCTATAGTATCTCACACCTTTGATCTACAATACTGGCCACCCAGCTGAAGACTATTTCTTCTAAAATGTGTCACAATTTACAAAACACAGCATTGAAAAAGACTTCAATCATCTATTATTACATATTACTATCAAACTTTTGCCATAGAAAATATAGGTAAGATTAAAATCATTTCAGAAAACCTTTTTAGAATTAATTATATACCAATATACCAATAAAAGCTTGTAGAAAAATATGCACATTAGTTAAAAAGTATTTCTATCACAATTATATAAAAAGCCTAAAAGAAACAACAGACTCTCCTATCCCAAACATTTCTTAAAAATTAAATACTACTTTTAAGACTATGGAGAGTTAAAAAAATTTTAAGTAACAATTTAAGTTAACATCACTTTATATTTCAAGGTGAGGATGAAATCACCACTTTGAATTAAAAACAGAGCTTACAAACTTATAACCCCATTTAAGTCCCAGGGACTATTTTTAAGTTTACATAAAAGAATAAATGCATGATAATCATTTTGAAGCACCTTTTTAAAAGGTGGGAATTTGGCCTGTGAGAAACCAAGCTGTACTACAAACTAAGTCATTTAAGTAATTTCATTAGTGTAAATATAGACAAAAGAACAAAGAATGAATAAAGAACCTAGAAATATATATAAATTTATGTGGTTGTAATAGTGAATAAAAGTAACATTACAAGTAAACTCACGAACCATTTTATAAATAGTATAAAGACATTAGACTGTAATTTTGAGAAGATATATGTATATCAAACTTACACTACAATCAAAAATTTCCAATGACCTAATGAGTATAGCTAAAAAGTTACACACAAACTGTTTCAAGTACTGGAATAGAAAAGTCAATCAAAACAATCTTGGTATACAAAAATGCTTGCTAGAGGCCCCCCCCCAACCAAACATTCAGGAGCTGTTAAAAGCCTACAACTGATTTAAGCACATTAAGCAAAAAACAAAAACAAATTAAAGGCAAGCATCAGAGGAAAGTCTTTTATACGTATTGTAAGTGTCCAGGATGTATAACGGGATGTTACAAAGCAGTAAGAACAAAGCAAGTAAGTTAACAGAAAAAATGAAAGCAGTATATGATGGGGAGTTCACAAAAGAATTACAAGTGCCTGGGACTAATATTGTGGCCTGTAACAGTGGCGCCCAATTTGTGTCGGGCTGCTCCACATCTGATCCAGCTCCCAGCAACAGACTGGGGAAAGGCAGAATTCAAAGGCAAAACAGGGCCACTCTTAGCACCTTGGAGAGTGCCACCCAAGCAGGATAAAACGTAGGAGGGTATTCTAGCCTGGTAGAACACCTGACTTCTGCGGCACATCTCCCACCGGGTGGCTATATGACCTCGAAAACAACACTCTAAAGCTAAAGGGCATTATTTACTCGTCTAAAAATACAAACAGACACAAATTCATTGGCAATAAAGAGAATTCCTAAATGTACTACTTCTGAACCAAGTTTTTAAAATAAGCACTAAAAACTTTGGATTTGACAGGCAGAGAGAAAGGTAAGGACGCAGAGGCAGAGGGAGGCAGAGAGAGGGATGGAGCAGCAGGCAGGGTAAACACACAATTCCCATCAACTTGTCCAGAAATGGGAAAGGCTAAACTCAAGTCAGGTGCTGGGTACTCAATCCAGGTTCACTATGTGGGTGGCAGAAATCCAAAGATGTCTCCTCTGGGCATTATCACCAGGAAGCCGGGGGGTCAGGAGCTAGGGCTGGACATCAAACCTGGGCACGCTTGATAGCAATGGTAAACACTGGCTTAACTGACACCCAAATGCTCACTTCTAGGGTCAACTCTGAAATAAAATCTCACCCTTCCAAATATCCTAGCCAAAATCTTCACTGAGGGAAGAACTATATTTCTTTAAAAAAATGTATTTCTTTCTATTGCAACGTCAGATATACAGAAAGGAGGAGACAGAGAGGAATTTCTTCCATCCGATGATTCATTCCCCAAGTGGCTGCAAATGGACAGTGCAGCGCCAATCCAAAGCCAGGAGCCATGAACTTCCTCCAGGTACAGGATCCCAAGGCTTTGGGCCGTCCTTAATGGTCTTCCGAGGCCACAAGCAGGGGGCTGGATGGGAAGCTGGGCTGCGGGGATTAGAACCGGCACCCATATGGAATTCCGGTGTGTTCAAGGTGAGGACTTGGGCCACTAGGCCACCACACTGGACCCAGAATTATATTTCTTATGATAGTCAACTAATGCAGTGCTGGCACAATGGCTAAACTGGCTAATTCTCAGCCTGCAAATGCCAGGATGACACATGGGCACCCTTCCATGTCCCAGTTGCTCCACTTCCCATCCAGCTTCCTACTTGTGGCCTGGAAAAGCAGTCAAGGATGGCCCAAACCCACGGGATCCTGCACCCTGACCTGCATGGGAGACCCAGAAGCTCCTGGGTCCTGGCTTCAGACCAGCTCAGCTCTGGTCACTGCAGCCACTTGGGGAGTGAACCAGTGGATATAAGATTTTTCTCTTCTCTCCTTCCTTATGAATCCGCCTTTCAAATAAAAACGAATAAAGCTTTAATGAAAATAATGAAGCTGAATTTAAAATTAAAATAAATAAAACAAAAATATATATTTAATAATAAAAGGACTCTAATGATGGAACATCTCCTCAGGGAAAAGAAAAATGATCACAGAATAATCAGAAATTAAACAACAGAAAATGAAGGAATAGTAAATAAATTATGTATTTCTATATAAAACATCTATATCTGTCATATTTAAAAAATAAAATAAAATAAACAATATGCCTAGTTGGTAAGGTAATGGTATAAACTGCTCCACTGGTAACGTGAAGAACAATATGAATGGCAAAAATTCAAGGAAAATCACACAGCCTGCTAATATTGACAAAGAAAATAGTAAAGTTATGAGATTAAAATGTTAATGTACAATCTCCAGCCCATTTCTTACGTAAACCAATGGGTTCTGCGGCAAATTAAAAAAAAAGAAAAAACCTTAATGTACAGACAATCAGCATCAGTACATTACTAACTGGATGCTCTCTCAGGAGGAAGCTACGAGGTCAAGAAATTAAAGGATAAGTATGATGAAAGTGTTATTAATAAGTCAAAATCAAATCTGCACAAGATCAAAGGGATTAATTAGTGTGCTAATTAGTTTTCTCCCACACTCCTGCAACCTGTCAAGAAAAACAGTTGCATATATCAACATATTTTCAGTTCAGAAATTCATAAAAGCTTAATGTGGGTAAAAAGTGCTTAACAGAAAAAAGCTTCCTGGTCATGTGCCGGGGAAGGCAACAGATGACTCCACCGACTAGGGTCCATCACCCACGCAATGTTCTGGGCTCCTGTCTTCAGCCTGGCCCAGATACAGTTACTAGGGGAATTTGAGGTACAAACTTTCTCTGCCTTTATCTCCTGTTACCCTTTTCTTTTTTATATATATTTTTTTATTATTATTATCATTTTCTGATACAGTTCCATAAGCCCTGGGATTTCTTTTATCCCTCCCTAAGTTCCCTCCCCCCGAATGAGTTCCCCCCCAAATGATAACTACAGCATAGTTCTTCATAAACAGTCATGTCCATCATTGTGTGCATGGGCAATGGCAGAGTCCAGCATCCTATTGTCAAGATATAGATAACAGTTTCATTGGAAGTCTATCTTTGATCTGGAAGTAGAAATGTATACTGCATTGTATCCTCACATCTGAATATGATAGTCTCCATTACACAGTTACCATACATCCCGTTAAATGAAAAGCCACAAAACAAAATCAACAACAGGAAGAAAAAAAATTTTAAATACCATGAAGTTAAATAACATGCTATTAATGCCTACTGAAGAAATGAAAAAGAAAACCAAGAACCTTCTTGAAGAAAATGATGTATGATCTATGAATCAGTGAAGAATTTAATGAGAAAGTGTTTAGAAAAGATGAAACTAAATTTAAAAAATCAAAATCCATTAGATACAATTTCCGCTGGCCTTTGTTGCTGAGATGTGTCTCCTGTGGGCAACAAACAGATGGGTTTAACTAATCTATGATGTTTGATTGATGGGTTTAAGTCATTTACATTCAGAATTAATATGAATGGGTGGTAATTTGGTCCTGTAAGTTTAGCAATGGGTTGTTAATTGATTCAGTCTTCTGTTATTTTACTGAGATGTTCTTCACATTTGCCTTTGGCTTTGGTCAAGAGAACATCTTTAAGTATCTTGTGTAGAGCAGGTTTGGAAGAGGCATATTCTTTTAACTGTGGAAGAATTTTCTTTTCTTTACTGTGGAAGAATTTTATTTCATTTTCAAAGACAAAGGAAAACTGCTGGGTACGTTATCCTGGGCCAACAATATTATGCTTTTAGAATATGGAATATGTTGCTCCATTCTCTTCTGGCCTGTGGAGTTTCCTGTGAGAGGTTCCCTGTGAATTTAATTGGCATTCCTTTATTTGTCAATTGATTTTTTCATGTGCACATTTGAGAATCTTTTCCTTATGTTCGATTAAAGAGAGCTTGATGATCATGTGTCTTGGTGAAGATCACTTTTGGTCAAACCTGCTGGGAATTCTGTGCCCCTCCTGGATGTTGTTTCCCAATTCTTTCTCTAGATTAGAAAAATTTTCTCTTATTATTTCATTGAATACACCTTTAATCCCAGCTTCTCTTTCTGTGCCTACTGAACTCCCATAACTCTTATATTTGGCCTTTTAATAGTGC